TGTGTGATACATAAAATAGAAGTGTGAGTACCAGTATCTGAGTCACCAATGCACACGGGAAACAACTATATTCAGAGAATATCAATAAGATGCAATGTTGATGTGATACTGCCTCAAGCACTAGTTTGTGTCTAATGTCAAGACCACGCCTCAGGTTCTGAGTAGGGCCACCCCAAAGCAGAATATGCTTGTTTAGGGATGAGTGAATTCGCTCTTGGGATTTAAAATTAAAAAAACAAAAACAAAAACAAAAACAAAAAAAACCCCACAAAAATCAAAATACTTTTTTGAGATGAGAAGCTTAAGTTTTAATAGCTTCTCCTGGATTGGAGTTCTGCTTTTATTACTGCAGAAATAAGAAACAGTTTGTGTTTTAGAAATATGTCATTTTGTCAGGAAGATTGCTAAGTGACACAATTTATGAGATTTAACCCGCAAATTGTGACACATTTTGGAGGATAAGAAAGAGATACTAAGATCCAAAGAATGCCACATGGCCAAACCAATTTTAGACTGGCAGTTCCAGTGAAGCTGAATGCCTGGCTTCGTCACCTAGAGTAAAGCAGCCTGAACTGTTCTTTTTCTCCCTGCTTGGAAGTCTCGTATGTGGTGGCCCTATAGAGTGTCCCTTGCATTGTGGAAAGCAATGTCCAGGCAGAGGCAGTGAGCCCAGGAACAAGGGCATGGGGTGGTTTAGAGAGCAGCAACTAATAGCACACGAGACTTCCAGCCTGTTTCTGACTGGCCTGGTTGCAGGGTTTAAGATAGATATTGCCTTGAAAAGTGAGGAGATATTTTTGCATATGCTCAAAAAGTGGGCTAATGATGTTCCAGCAGGGAAGAATGACTAAATTCATGAATCATATTCGATTTTGGAATGAATTAATCTCTAGTAATTTTTATAGCTGAAATTCTTGTTGGAATAAAGAACCTAAAAACATTCATCACATCATTATTTTGGAAGGCTTGAGTATAGATCAGCAGTTGCTAGTGACATCAGCAACTGTGTTTGCTTTGAACAAATTATGGGCCCTTGCCAGACCTGCCTTCTATCCCAAGAAGTCAAGGTCGGGTGGATGATTTCAAATAGACACATCTGTGATGAAGGCTTGTGGATGAACCCAAATTAATGATGAGTATTAGAATTTGAAGCCTAAAGAAGGTGGCTAGTTTATAAGGACATGAGATACATACCCAAGTGGGCACAAATTCCCTTCTCCTTCAACTCCAATCATGGAATGAAAATCTTTGGAGCAAGCACAAGACTTGGATGTGTGTATAAAAAGACTTCTTTTTGGAACCACCACTGTGGATGGAATAAGTGTCTGTGATCAGACTTCCCGCTTTAGGCTACTTCATGACAAACTGGGCCAAATTCCTGCCTGCCAAACGCCCCCCCCCCTTTTTTTTTGGTAGGAGCTAATGGGTCTTCTGTGTCCTGTTCTGATGAGTTACAAGTCAGGTTCTCTGATGCTCATAAGACTTCAGTTCCTGTTTAGAACCTAGCTGAGCCCCTTTGGCTGTGTGTGTGTGTGATACTTTTTAAAAAAATCTCAGTTGGAATCCCTTCCCTGTTTGGGATCCTTGTTTGAGTTCACAGGACTCTCTGCATTTGCATCTGAAGTTCCCCCATGTTCAGAATAGCAATTGCAGATAAAACAACAGGGAGGTGTGCTGATTCAGATCTAGAAGAGATGAAAGTGAGAGACAGTTTCTCATGATGTCAAGAGGAATTCAAGGACAAGAAGATCAAAGGTTCCAGCTCTCAGGTCGGGATTTGAAAGCCCAGGAAAAAGCAAACTATGGCTCCCTTGCAGCATAAAACACCATGGTGAAATGCAATGTGGATCTACTCCAGGGGAAATGGTCTCTATTTCCCTTTCTTGAATCTCAGTTTTGTTCTGCTGGCAATGTTTCTACTTCACACTAAACTATTTGGAGCAGGAGTTGGTGGGATAAGTTTCAGACAAGGAATTGAGTAAGGTTTATGCCTCTAAGTGTGAATTTCAAAGAGACATTTCATTTGTGTGTAATGAAACAGAAATCAGTTCTCGGGTGTTCCCTTGGCCTTCTTGGGTTCTGTGTCACTAAAACCAAAAGGAGACCTGGAACCAACTCCCATCTGGACCCTAAATGACATCCTTTGGTTACTGGGGCTGCTTTGGTTCTAGTACCTTCTTTCTTATGCTCAAAGATCATCATCTGTATCRTCAATTCATAGAGCCAGGAACAAGCTCATCATAATGTCAAATGCATGACTTCTTCACATGGTTTATCAACTCTTGGTAAATGAAAATGTTTGCAGTTAAGTAAATAAAATACGACAAGAAATAAAGAAAAATAAAAAAAAGAAAGAGAATGGACAACAATTCCCAGGCAGTTGTTCTCCTATACCATGGCCTACGGGATCCTGGGGATGTTCCATGATGGGATCTCTTGGGAAGTCAATCTGACTTGGTAAGATCACTGTGGGTAATATCAACCTTTTSTTATATCATGAAGTTGTTAAAAATGTATATAAACACATTTAGGCAGGAAGCAAGCTGAAGGCCACTCCCTAGGAGATAATTCACTGTTCTGCTTGGTCTCACCCCAGTGAAGGCACCAGGCTCTGTCAGTGACCTTCTAAAGGAAGTCACCGCAGCATGAGGACCTCAGGGCTAAGGGAGAATGTGGCAGTGGCAAAAGCCAAGCTCACTGATGACTTCTCAAAATGTATTTGTTCACAACAGAAAAACAAGGCATACTCACCTTTGAAAATTTCTCAAAGAAAGGCTTTTCATGAAGTGGTATATTTCAAACTAGCAATCCAAAGGTATACCAAAGGACAAACAAACCAACTCAAAGCAATGGCATCCTCTGGGGTCCATGTTTCCAAGAATGTTGTTAAGCAAGCCAATGCATGCAAGTACTGCGAGGCCAGAGGYGGGCTCAGAGTCCCAGAACTCTGCAGAATGGGTTTGGGTTGAGGAGTTAGGGGAGGCTCTACTTCTAAGGTAACACACTTGTTTAACTTGTAGGATGCACAAAGAGGAAAATGACCCCTTTCACCATATTTTAGCCCATTCAACTAGCATATTCAGGCAGATCTTGTGTGGGTACATTTGCATAGAAGCAGACTCTTACAGAGTGTGCAAAGCTGGACTCGTGACCCATGGAGCCGGTCCATGGGGCTGACTTCCAAAGCAAGAGAGCTAATGGGTCTTCTGTGCCCTGTTCTGATGAGTTACAAGTCGGGTGCTCTGATKCTCCTAAGACTTCAGTTCCTGTTTAGAACCTAGCTGAGCCCCGCTGGCTGGTGAGACAGCTGTGTTGGGCTACCAACACAGAGGCACAACCAACAAATGCAAAGGCTAATTTTCCATGGCGGGGKAGCTTGGGCTGAGAAATTGGTTAGTGGGGACAACTAGCCTGGAAAGAGGCTCACGAAGCTCAGCTGCATTTGGGGGCAAAGATGAACAGTTCTCAGGACCTCAATGCCCTTGGCGGATCTGTGCCTCAAGTTTTTGTCCCTAACACAGGTATAATAATCCTGAAGGGAACTTTTGCAATTTGAGAATGAGGTTTTGGGATCCAAGATCTGGATATTCATATTCATTCAACTCTACTCTGCCTGTCCATAGTTAYGGGATTTAGGGAGGAGGAACGTCTCTCTGCCTTTGGGTGCCAAGCTTTAGGAAACAAGCCTAGTCCCTAGGTGGTATGYAGGCTTCGGGACAGGGAAGAACTGAACTTCTTGCTCTCAGCAGGACTCTGGATAACAGAAAAGCTGTGTATTCCCTAGCCTCCTTCTCGTTCTACACCAATGTGATTGGAGTCTATAAGCACGTACCAGCAGAAGAAGCCTCTCAACTCAAAGTCACCACCCCTCTCCCCGGCCCCCACTGACACTTCATTAAATCCACAAAATTCACAAACAAACAAATATGGCTCTGCTGAATTGATTCAAGCTTTCGATCCAGAGTCTTTGGAATAGAAATGAGCATGAACTTGTTTTGAGGAACATAAAAACCCTGGATGGGTGGGGAAAGGATGAGGATGGGGGCTGGATATGGAACAAACGCCTACCTACATGGAGAAGTCTGGCCCAGGTCACAAAGGACAACTTCTCCCTTAGAGATGCAAGCCCTGTCTCCTCTCCTGATGGCTCAAGTTCACTCATGCTGCTCCATGATCAGCCGCCCTCTGGGTCTGCTGGCCGACCTGCTGCTMGTGGGAGGAGGCACTGAGCACCACCTGCCTTTCCAAAACCCTTTTTTTTTTTTGGAAACACACATTTGCTTGTGTGGATGAAAGTCTCTCTGTTCTGTTCGAGTGGCCTTACCAGAATCGTCGTTTAAGACAGTTAACATTTATTCGTATGCAATACTGGTTAGGAAATAGCTCTACAAACACAACTTACTTACAAACAGCAAGTCAGAAATAGGATAAAACACCAAGAGAAAAACGAGCCATGAGTACATTTCAAAAACCCGTGGGATTTTTCTCTTCTGTGGGTTTTGTTGTTTGCGTCTTGACTAGCACCATCTGTACACGAGAAGAGTATGAACACAAATGTTTGGGTAATCATAAAGATTTGCAAGGCACTTAATCCGTCATCCTGGGTCATCTTGTCGTGGGTGTTTTGTTTTCGATTTCCACAGCAATCCTCCATCCACCCTCCCCCTCACGAAAGCACGACAAGAGAGAGGTCTCTTTGCCAGCAGTTCTTATGTACAAACAAGTTAAGTTCCTCAAAGTGCTTTTATTTCAGTCTCAYGGGGCTCTGACGTCCCTTGGGCTTCCCATCATTCTCTCCTTCCACGTGTTCGGGGTTTGCACCTTCCCTACTTCAGAAAACAAAAGAAAACTCGCCTTCCGCTCAACGCTCCCTCCAGACTTGCCACCAACCTTCATCCTCATTCTATAGTCTTTGGGGTGCCGCCAGCACAGAGGGCCTGGGGGAGGGTGAYGTCCYTCTGGGGAGTAAGGGGACTGGTGGACYAGGGATCTGCCGCTCCTTATCGGCGCCTGGAGGTGATGTCAAAGCAGGTGATCATCATGAGATGGGCCTTGCAGAAGTTGACGCGGCTCTCCAGGCGCTCCGTGACGCACTCCAGGGCCTCCAGGTACTCCAGGGAATCCAGCTCCAGCACCTGCTCCAAGTCGACTGCAAAAGAGGAAGGGCCTGGAGACTCCGGCAGGAAGAAGAGCCATCCCATCTGCTCAGCCCAGACCACAGGGCTGCCCGAATCTGCCGCTCTGTCCCCAGATCTGATCTCTTCACCTGTCTCTAGTGGCCTTGGTGTCCCTCCTACCTAATCCTTGGCCTCTTAGCCAGTGGACTGAAACACTGGTTACCAGTTTTTAGATTTTTAACATTTTGTGGAGATTGTTCTGAGAAATAAGGCAAAAATCTAGCTGCCCCCACCTCTGGCCATCTCCAACCACAGCATCTGTGAAAGATGACGCCATTATTCTTCATTAACCATGAAGAATGCAGATCTTGAAGCTGGTGTGGGGAAAATCCTTCCCTTGTGATCTAACATGGCAAATCCCTCTGCCTCCTTAGATAGAGGCTGTTTCTCTCTCATATTCCTTCATGAGCACTTTGTAACCTCTCGGGCTGAGAAACCTGACCTGTCTCTGGTCTTCCTAGGCAGTCTCATGTACTCRATGATCATTCAGGAAATATGATAAATAGATCTAAAYTGATAGGTGAGCTTCCTTAAGCTCAGAAGACAAGCTGACACTTAGGAGCAGGATGCTGACACTCAGGCCTACAGGGGGTGAAAAGTTTGAGTCCTTCAGTTTCTGAAGAGCAGGTGTCTGCGGTCAACCCCACCTGGACTCAGTTTTCCTACTATGTCCACGGTGGCTGGGCAGAGGGGTGGGCTGCCTGGTACTAGCTCCAGAGGTGCTACAAGGAGTCCCCATATGGGGAGGACAGCAGAGACGACCACCAAGGCTGGTGGAGTGGCCGTGGAATCCAAAGCAGGAGACTCGCGTTTGATTCCCAGCTGCTCCACACTAGCTCTGTGACCTTAACTTCTGCAGGTGCCATGTCCTTAAAAGTAACATGAGCATAATAATTCCTACCCTGCCGATCCTATCTACCTCGAGTTGGTGAGAAGAATAAAATCAAAAAGGAGATAACGAATGTGAACATGGTCTGAAAACATTGGAAAACCATGTCATGCTACAGARCCATCAGGGACTGTAACGGAAGCAGACTGCTTTACACCGAGGGCATCCCCGAGAGCGAGACTGTGAGGACACTCACTCAGTTAATAAGGACCACAGCTGGAGGGAGACCCAGTCTAACAGGCTGAATGCCCGTCTAATACTGAAGAGACAACACCTCACTACACCATAACCCCCTCAGACCTCATCACTGGACCACCTCAAAAGCGGCATCAGATGTAAAAATCAAAAATAAAAATGGACCCAGCACATGTATTTCTGTGCCAATACCCTGCCGGCCACCAACAGGAAGAGTCGGCATGCAGCCTCCATAGTTTTTTATTTTTTCCCCCATTCTTATTTTCCACTCATCTTAGAAAAACAATCTGTGCTTCTCCTTTCATGTGGCCTTCTGTTCATTCTCTTTCTTAGCATCAAAAATACCTGATTCTTGACATCTACGAACGCAAGAAGGAGTGTCTTCAGATGTTTCCTGGGAGCATCTGAAACACAGGTGTACTGAGGTGTAAGCCTGCTCCCTTCCTGGGAGAAAATGTGCTTTGTAAGACGAGGATCATTTTCAAGCCTGCCTCGGGCATAAACAGCTCTTGAAAAATAAAATGTTAATGAAAATGTTAAAAATGAAGGGATTGTGGGGGCTGGGGTTGTGGCTCAGGGGTGGAGCGCTCGTCTAGCACGCACGAGGCCCTGGGTTCGATCCTCAGCACCACATAAAAATAAATAAAGGCATTGTGTCCAACTACTACTAAAAAAATATTTTTTAAAAAATGAAGGAACTGTCTGAAGGGATGCCCCAGGATCTCCAAGTGTCCAGAGATTCATGGAAAAAAAAAAAAAAAAAAAAAAAGAAAAGGCAGC